TAATGAGGGGGTGTTGAAATTTTCTTGTCATTTCAGTAGTACAGGAAAAAAATTTAAATCCAATGTCGCCTTCACTTCTGCACATTTCTATTGGTCGCTGCTAAAGTTGAGTGGGTAACTAGCGAAAAAAAACGCTACTTTAAATATTTTTTTCCCTCAATTGAACATTCTTATGGAAAGTTAGCCAACGAGTTATCTGTAATTCTGAAAGCAAAGTTATTCTTCTAATTGATTAGACTATGAAGAAATAGTTTTTTGCGCTTAATTGCAGCCAATTTCCAGTTCGTTTAGTGAAATAGGAAGCGACAATCAGAAATTTTTTCAAATTGGATAATTTTAACTACCAACTCTGAACGGTGATTTAATCATTTACGAGTATTAAAAACGCCATTTAGTAGATTTTAAGTATGAATTAAACTAACTTTTTATCTTAATATCAATTAATAGTTGTAAAACTCGATTGTAAAGACAATCTCACCCCTCTAAAGTCATTCGTTAGAAATCAACTTTCATCTACAGATATAATGGAGAGCATTTGTGAGAATGACCCCCAACAAGTGTTCCACTCAGAGTGAACTTAATTATCCCGTAAATCCTATGTGGATGAAGCAAAGCGTAACGAAGTCGCCGTCTAAATCTGCATTGAAGTTGACATGACCTTGACTGACACAAGTATTTCTCAGGGTCAGTCCTACTAATCATGATTTATATATCCACGGTTATTGGTGCTTGTCACTAAGTAATTTCCTTCTTCGTTAATAAAAAGCGCAGCTCAATCGACACCATCACCAGTCACTAACCTCGTTCGTGTTTCAGAACTGCAGATCTGAACAGGACTAGGGCCGAGACAGTCTCCAGTTCAATTTTCACGCTAAAATGATAATAAACACATAGACACCTTCTTTAAAAGCATCTCCAAGTAACATCCAAAGCCACCCATCGGTTGGGTAGCTCAAAATACAGCCATCAATCTCTCCCTAAACTAATTGCTAACCCTACTTGTTCCCTTTGTTCCTTTGTCCAATTAGCCACACTTTACTCTATGCGTAAATGCATTTCAGATATGATAGGCATCACAACCCTCTGATGAATGTCATATCCCGCTAACCAGTACATTCATGAAATATCGACATACGGAAATGCACTTGCATGTAAGCCCGCTATTTTTCAATTCAGTATCTAGTGCGAGCAGTCACACATCACTCTTCAAATTATGCTAGACTCGAGCTTAAAGCCTCAAACCAATAAGATATTAAGAACAAAGCCCTAGAGGAATCTTAATGTTGCAGGAAGGACGTCTTCGAACTGCGCTCACCTACACCTTCATTTCTGCCAAAATCCAATTTTTAAATGAAAATTAATAGAGCAGATTTCACCGAATGGAAATAAGCCTTCAAAAGCCTAACCACATTCAGGTCATCTGCATTCCCAACCCAAATTGATCAAGGTCAAACACAGAGTTATCAAAGGTCTTTTGGTTGGTAATTTGGTGTGTCTGAGAGTGACCCCATCTCACACGTTGTTCGCGAGTGGAGAGGCAAAAGAAAAAAGTAGAAGGGAGGGGAGGGCGGCAAGACAAAAGACAGAGCAGGAAGGAGGGAAAGAAGATGGGCAAGAGGTTTAACCGGCGCATTCAGGGGATAGGCAGATGGACATACACGCACGTACGAACAAACCGACCAATGTATAGGTAGACAGACGGACAAACGAACACATGAATAATATGAACATAAAATGACTGATGGGAAGGCGCGCATAGGTCATTCTTTTAGGAGATTGAATAAAGGATAGAGAATAGCATAAATGATACTCGTGGGAGTTGCTGCTTTGAGATTTGGGAGATTGGGGGGGGGGACATTATACAAAGATGACCTTGGGGAGGAGGATGTTAGGGTAGTTCGTCGAGAAAAAGATAGAACGCAATAAGTCAGAGTAAACTAACACGTTAGTGTGTTAGGATGGAAATATTATGAAAGACTAATGTGTCGCACACGAGAAAGGAAGGAAGAGGGTGAGTCTGGTATCGGCGGTGGTGGGGATTCAAGACAGTGTAGGAGGGGGGCCAGTGTAAGTATCTACTCGTTCGAAGTGACAAAATGAGTGCGCTTCGAGGGCGATGGAGTTTTGGAATCATCACATTCAGTAGTAACTCCTACTGCTACTGAATGAGTCCCTGAGGGTGCAGAACTTGGTTGCTGTTGAAAATGCGCAGCATTGAGACTTGATCGTAGTAGTTGATTTTCTCGTGTGAGACGATAAATCTCCTGTTTGAAGATGCTATTCTCCTCTCGCAACTATAAAAAACCGCAAAATAGTAGTCGGTAAATCACCACTAACTCCCCCAATTAAATTGCATAGGTGAACCCCCTTACAGATTTGAGAGTGGCGTCGTAGTTTTGGAAGTACTCGCAAACGCGTTTAAGAACAACACCCTTGCTTTGATATTGTGATTTGGCTTGTTGCTCGGGTGGTAGGAGTTTGTAGAGTTCTGCTATCCACGTGTTGATACGATCCCTTCGGCGCCGTTCAACTGAAAGAAGGATGAACAAATACCCCCTTGGAATAATAAAAATGAGTAGCTAAAACAAAGACTACTAAATTACCCCCCACCTAAGAAGTCAAATAGCACAGAACTTATTAACTTCTAATTGGCGCCACTTTAGACAATGGACACTACTGAAAAAGGGAAATAAGTAATACGGACCTTCGTTGTGACTGACA